ATGATGTACTGAGATATAGAGATAGGCTTTGTGTACCTGATGTAGATGATCTGAGGAGAGAATTGATGGTAGAAGCACATCAGACAGTTTACACAATGCATCCAGGTTCCACCAAAATGTATAAAGACCTTAAGGTATGTTATTGGTGGAATAGGATGAAGGCTGATGTAGCAGACTTTGTTTCTAGGTGTTTGACCTGTCAGAGGGTAAAGGGTGAACACCAGAAACCTCCTGGATTGTTGCAACCATTGTTAATTCCAGAATGGAAGTGGGAAAGGATCACAATGGACTTTGTGACAGGATTGCCTAGGAGTCAGGAGGGTTATGATTCAATATGGGTGATTGTTGATAGGTTGACAAAATCAGCCCATTTTCTGCCAGTTAAGATTACTTATGGATATGCAAAGTTGGCGGAATTGTTTATTAGTGAGATTGTACGGTTAAATGGAGTGCCAATCTCGATAGTGTCAGATAGAGGTCCACAGTTTACATCGCGGTTTTGGGTGAAATTCCAAGAAGCTATGGGTACTAAAGTGCAGTTGAGTACAACTTTTCACCCACAGACAGATGGTTAGTCTGAGAGGACTATTCAGATCTTGGAGGATATGCTAAGGGTTTGTGTTATGGATTTTGGAGTTGGTTGGAGTAAGTTCCTACCATTAGTGGAATTTGCTTACAACAACAGTTATCAGGCTAGCATAGAGATGGCACCTTATGAGGCTTTGTATGGTCGGAAGTGTAGATCACCGGTTTGTTGGTTTGAGATTGGTGAGAAGAGGCTAATGGGACTAGAGTTGATTCAGATTACCTCAGAGAAAATAGAGGTAATTAGAAATAAGCTTCAAACAGCTCAGAGTAGACAAAAGAGTTATGCAGATAGAAGAAGGCGTGACTTAGAGTTTTCAGTGGGTGATTGTGTGTTTTTAAAAGTATCACCAACAAAGGGAGTATTCAAGTTTGGGAAGAGAGGTAAGTTGAGTCCTTGATTCATTAGACCGTATGAGATTCTGGAAAGAGTTGGGGCAGTTGCTTATAGGTTAGCATTACCACCAAACTTGTCTGCTATCCATCCAGTATTTCATGTTTCCATGTTAAGGAAGTATATGACAGATCCATCGCATGTGTTAGAAGTTCATCCTGTTGAATTGAGGGATGATATGGTTTATGAGGTGCAACCAGAAGCCATAGTCGACCGTCAAGTGAGGAAGCTTAGGTCAAAGGATATAGCTTCAGTGAAAGTGCAATGGAAGGGTCATTCACGTGAGGAAGCGACATGGGAGCTCGAGGATAAAATGCGTGAGGAGTATCCTCATCTTTTCGATAATCTCGGTAAGTATTCAATCTTTCTTATTAAGTTTCAAGGACGAAACTTTTATAAGGTGGGGAGATTGTAATGTTTTGAATAAATAAGTAGGAAAATACAATAAAGCCCTTGGTGGCTTAAAGTGTAGGTATAAATGAATGAGGGGTAGTGTAGTAATTCAACAAAACTTGATAAATATAAATAGAAAGTAAAAAAAAAACAAAACAAAATAAATGATCTGAAATTAGAGAGAATCGGCAGGAGAAAGAAGGGAGAAAGAAGAAGAAGAGAAAAGAGAGAAATTAGAAGAAAAATAGAAAGGAGTTGAAGGAAATAAGTTTAAAGGTAAGATTATATATAAATATGTGTTGATTAAGTTTTAATTTTGATTTTGATAAATGTTAGGGTTTTGAAAATTTGTGTTTTGGGTTTGATTGATGAATTAATTGAATTTTATGGGTTGATTGTTATGGGTAATGGATTATTTGGTGGATTTTGAGAGATTGAATTGAAAGATGATGATTTTGAGTTATGATTTTGTTTGAATGGTGAAATTATGTTAGAAATAAGGAAAGAACAGTGGGTTTCTGTTGAAATTCTGGGTTGGAGGTTGAAGATGATGAAAATTCATTTTGGTCCTTCAATTTGTGGAAATTACAGTTTAGTCCCCAAACTTTGGAAAATTTACAGATTGGTCCCTGAGGCATATTCCGAGATTCTGAACAGAATAAAAGATAAATTATGGGCAGAATTCCTGTATAGTTATGAAATTTTAACACTTTCAATTTGGTCCTTCAATTTGACAAAAATTACCGTTTAACCCTAAAAATTTGATAAAATTCCAGAATGGTCCCTGGAGTATAATGAGATGATCTGGACAGAAATGAGGATTGGTTATGGTCAGAATTTCAGTATATTCATGGATTTATGATAAGTTTAGTTTGGTCCTCCAAATGGATTAAGTTACAATTTGACCCTTAAAAATATAATAAATTACAGATTAGTCCCTAGCTGTAATATTAGCTTTTGCAGATGTGTTTGATGAATAATTGAGGGTTAGTTAGTGAAGTATTACCAATTTTATTATTTGTTTTATTGTGGATTAAATTTTGAGAAAATCGTTAATTTTTGGGTTTTTGGAATATAACTAATTAGTTCAAAAATATATAGGGTTATGGAATATATCCTTAAATAAGTGTATTAAATAGGTTATATATTCTTTTGAGTCATTCTTGAATATGTCTCCTTTGTATTCAGATAATCCTGATATTCTACCGGCAGGACGTCAGTAGGATTTTCTTCGGTGTTTGCTTTTGATTTCTGTTTGCTTTCGAGTCAGGTGAGTGGATAATTTTCCATATGCATGAGAAATATTATAAATATTTGATTTGTTAATATGAATTGGATCATGTTTCTTGGTAATATATTTGGTGACTATTATCCTTGTTATGATAAGCATGACCATTCGTTGAATCCGAATTCTTGATATGAACCAGTATGTATTTTGGATTGACTTCTGAATTGATAGCTCCTCATTTGATTGATGTCATGAGTTGAGCCTTGAGATATGAATATGTCTGTTTGATTATGATTATGACCCTATGGTATGTCAGTCAGAATACCCATGCTAACAGGGTAATGTTAGTCTTTGTGCACATCGTATCTGAACCCTAGTTGGTCGGGGGAGTCACCAACCTGTGTGGACTGATCATCCCACAGTACGGAGCCTCATGCTCATTGCATTTTGATTTTCTGACGATTTTACCATATGATATTCTTGTTATGGCCTATTTGAGAAACCTTTTTATAAGAACCTAAATTCATACTTGTATATATATTTCTCATTATTGTATTATCTCGTGTGTGTATATTGAACGTTATCTACTCACTGAGTTGTTGAACTCACACTCTCATTATTTATCATTTTCAGGCTTATAGCTTGATAGCAGGTCACTTTTGTTGGACCTTCAGAACCTGCTCTTTTGGTTGTAATCCGTGCATTTTCCTTTATGTCTAATTAGTGCTCCAAAACTATGAAATTATATTAACTCTTGTATTAAGACAATTCAATTATATTATGAAATTGATTTTGTTATTAATGTTGCGTTGAACTCTGATTGAGTTAGGATAAATTTGTATGTAAGTTTGGGTTCGCATAGGTACGGAACCTTGGAGGGGAACCTTGCCTATGTGCCGGTCATGGATCCGGGATTCGGGTCGTGACAGTCTCTCTGCAGCATCCTTCTAAAGATGAGGAATCCCTCTTCTAGACTCCCACATTTTGCATACATAGTTGAAAGAGCACTTCTGATTGAAAGTTCTGGACCCAATCCATACTTAATGGCAGCAAGGCTAGAACATGCTTTCAAGACACTGGCCATGGTTAGCTCATTTGGCAAAATTTCGCGCATCTGCATTCTACCATACATGCTTAGAGCCTCTTCATTTTTTCTATTTTGTGCGTAACCAACTATGATGGATGTTCAGAGAACAATATCGGGTTCTAGCAAAAAATCAAATTATTTCCGAGTATCTCCAGTAAAACTAAACTTTGCATACATATTAACCAAAGTTATCGCTATATAGATTTGAGTTTTATATATTGACTTTAATAAATAGCGACATAACCCGCTATGATGGATGTTCAAAGAACAAGATCGGGTTTTAGCAAAAAATCAAACCCTTTCTGATCATCTCTAGTAAAACTAAACTTTATATATACATATTAACCAAAGCTGTCGCTATATAAATTTGAGTGCTATATAAATTTGAGTCTTATATCTCGACTTCAATAAATAACAACATAACCTGCTATGATGGGTGTCCAAAAAACAAGATCAGGTTCTAGCAAAAAATCAAACCCTTTCCCAGCATCTCTATTAAAGCCAACCTTTGCATGCATATCAATCAACGTTGTCACTATATAAATTTGAGTCTCATATCCTGACTTCAATAAATAACGACATTACCTGTTATGATGGATGTTCGAAGAACAAGATCGGGTTCTAGTAAAAAATCAAACCCTTTCCCAGCATCTCCAGTAAAACCAAACTTTATATATATATAAACCAAACTGGCGCCATATAGATTTGAGTCTCATATCTCAACTTTAATAAATAGCCATGCAATTGCTTTCCTTCTTCAAAGGCAGCCACATCACTACAAATTTTAAGAACCCCAGCAAGGATAAACTCACTAGGTACAAACCCAACATAATACATTAACAAATAATAGCACATGAGTGAAACAATTAGATTCAAACTATACTTAAATTATTATAAAAACATCATAACAGTTTAATTATAATTTTTAAAAATACTATAGAAGTAACCTTGAAATCCACTCAATGAAATCCATTTTCTTTAACCCTAGAAAAGTTGGTGGATATAATTTTAAGATATTGTTTATACACTCGTGTAGTTATAAACAATAAAAATAGCTTAAACGGTTAAAAAAATAAATTTTAATTTATTTTTTTATTTAATTTATTTCAATTTTTAGTTATAAACAATATTTAATTTTAATTTATTTTATTTGCTAATTTTGATCTAACTATTATAAAGTATTTTATTTATTGGGCTATAAATATTTATTCCAAGTTTTAATATTTATATTCCATTCTTTCAAATATTAGATGATTGTTGAATTAAATAAAAATTACAGAGTTACAAATTTTTCATACTCCATTCTCTCTCTCTCTTCAATCATTTTTTTCTTTTTGTTTGGCTTCTTCTTCTTCGTGGCTTCTTCTTTTCTCTCATGGTTAATTACTTCATCCTCAAACCTGCTTTGTCCCGCATCAAATACATGATGCATGCTGAGGAAATGACCTTTCTACCTTTTTGAGTTTGCATCATCAAATTGTAACCCGTGATTTCATCATACTTTTTGACTCACCAATTCCCTGCCCTCCTAGCTGCAAAAGCTGCCTGAAAGGGGGGAAAATAACAAGAAAAAATAATAATTCAAGGTTCAAGTCCAGCAGGAACACAAGCTAGTTCTAGTGAAAGAATAATTTAGAGAATGGTTAGATTACAAAAGAAAATATGAAGAGAAGGTCCTCGTCCCAAATTTCCTACATGATTGAAGAAAGGCTGGTGCAGATGACTTACAAATAGACTATATCAGAAACTGGATTCAAAGCTTCTCAGTTTATCTTAGTGAAACTATTAACAATACAGCTGACCATGCGCTCTTTATCATGGTATCCTTCTTGCTAGACACTTGGTTGCAGGTGCTTGGAGGCTGAACCAGGCTCCTTTGAGATCGTTAGATGCATCTCTAGTGGTGCTGACCATTGTCATCCCCCATTTTAAATCTCATGCATGACATTATCTCTATACTGCAAATGTGCAGTGAAGACTGGATCCTTCATGATTCAGGAAATAGACAAAAATATGTGTTGGCTACTTTTGCTCAAATTGGCTGAAAGAACCTGGATGTTCAGCGCAAGTGTGGAAGTTTCCGCTGCTTGGTTTGTGAGTTCCTCATCAAGCTGATTACATATAAAGAATTACGCAGAGCACAAGATTACTCAAGTTCCTTTGAAATTTTGGTTTGAGATGGTAGTGTGTGGATTTCTGCATTCAAACAGTACAGGAAAAGTTAAGTACAAAAAATAAGGGGTCACAAGTTTCAGCTAGCTCCAATTTGATTCAGCTTAAATTATTACCACTGATGATAGATAAGAATGAATTTATCAAATGTACAAAAATTAGCATGCACCTGTGTTATTTGATGCCTGCAATATGTAGGGGTATGGGCCATTTATTATTTCTAATTCAACAGATGAACATCCCAAGAAAGATTGAAATTTACTTAATCCATCACATTTTCGTTCTTCCAATTTTCTCCAACTTGGGGTCATGTTTATCAAACAGTTGAGTTTTCATAGCCCTCAAATTTTCCTTTTTCATCTTTTCTCAACTTCTAATCAAGTGCCATCTTCTTGGTCATGTATTAAGCAATCAACTTCAGGTACATAGCCAGCCTCTTTCATATGCTGTACAGGTAATTCCAGAACTTCATAAACCCACTCTTTATGAGAACCCATCTTATTTCCAACAACAAAACTGTAAACCTGGTTTCGTACCTCAATCCAGCTCCTCCCAGCCACTTTTCTACACCCTGCTCTCTTCATCAACTTTCTCATTCTTGCAGCTTCTCCCCATTTGCCTTCTGCAGCATAAATATTTGACAGCATCACATAGGTCTCTACCATGTTTGGTCTCAAAGCCAATGCCTTCTTAGCTGCCAATTTCCCCAACCTTGAAAAGTTATGTGCCTTGCAAGCACCAAGAAGTGCACCCCAAACAGACTCATCAGCCATAAATGGCATGCTTCGTATTAGTTGATAGGCCTCCTCCACTCTCCCTGGTCTCCCTAGCAAATCTACAACACAGCCATAAATCTCCTGATTTGGCTTGATGTGATAATCATTTATCATACAGTTGATTAGCAAATCTACAACCCAGCCATAAATCTCCTGATTTGGCTTGATGTGATAATCATTTATCATACAGTTGATGTATCTCAAGCCTTGATCAACTAGTCCAGCATGACTGCACGCACTTAGAACTGCCATAAACACTACCTGATCAGGTCTGATGCCTGACTTGACCATCTCATCAAACAACTCAACAACCTTTTCACCGTATCCATGAGCCCCATATCCAATCATCATAGAAGTCCAAGAGACCAAATTTCTACAAGGCATTTCACTAAATATTTTGTGTGAATCAAATATATTACCACACTTTGCATACATATCAATCAAGGCATTAGCCAATTCCAGGTTTCTGTCAAGCCCTCTGCGAAAAATTCCTCCATGAACTTGCTGTCCACAACACAAAGCTGCTACATTCGCGCACGTTGCTATTAGACTGGTAAAAGTGAAGCAATTTGGAGTAAAACCTTCTGACTCCATTTGTGAAAATATAAATAGAGGCTCAATGGAATCCGATCTTTCATACCCTGCTATTAATGTATTCCATGTGATCAAATCTTTTTCAGTCATATCATTGAAATACTTGTTTGCCTCAGATAAACATCCACACCTACAATACATATCAAGTATAGAATTCATGACAGGAAGATCGGATTCAAACCCATGTTTGATCACCGCTGTGTGTATTTGCCTGCCAAAATTCTGTGAGCCAATTGAGGCACATGCCCTAACAGCTATCGAAATGCTATGTGGGTTCATTGCTACTCCGTCCTGTTTGTCATAAAAGCAACAAAGTCACGCATTACTACAATATTCATAGCATCATGAAAATTAAAACCACTTAACAAGCTAAGGCCACTGTGTGCTATAATGGTTAAAGTACTGCTTTTGACATGTTAAGTCCGTTACATGATTGAGTTTATTCCTAAGGTTCTTTGTTCATCCACTTACCAGTAGCATTTCCCGGAAGATTTGAAGTGCGCGATTGCCATTGCCTCTGTGAGTGTAACCAGCAATCAAGGTAGTCCAAGACACAACATTCTTCTCTTTAATATCGTGAAAAACAACACAAGCATCCCTCATTCCTACACCACAAGAAGCATACATATCCATGAGAGCATTATCCACATAAATAAACCCCTCCATAAACCTTCTTTTAATAGCCAATCCATGGACCGAACGCCCACAAAAAACACGCTTCATGCCTTTGCAAGCCTTTAGAACGCTTGATATTGTGAACGCATTTGGTGGGCCATTTCCATTCTTTAACATATCGACAAAAACACTCCATGCTTGAGTGTATTCATTGCAATGCGTGTACCCTGAAATCATCGTCGTCCACGCAACAACATCTCTCTCAGGCATTTCATCAAACAAGTTGCGTGCTGGACTAGTTAGGCCTCTTTCAAAATATGATTTCAAGAGGTCTGTAGCTAAAATGGAGGTACCCTTTGCATTAAAAGGTGTACCTGATTTCTGGGTCGGGGTGTTTTGGGTCCACTGTAGGTAGTTTTTCAACATGGGTGGGAAAGGATGGAAGTTATTGGCGGAGAGCAGTCTTTTTGTGCTCATGTCTAGTGTACATTGTCATCGTCTGTACTTTTGGTTCATAGTCTAAACTTCAAGCATTCTATATTGTGGAGAGGATATAGAGTATGTTGGTGTCTGCTTCGAGATCACACAGACAAGAAGTCTGATGTAACTGAATCTGGCATTTGTCCCAGTTCCACAAGAAGATGATTACTATAGGCTCCTTTTGTTGGGCCCAAAAGACAAGGACTTGACGTAAAGTCTTTGCTGCAAATGGTCATGACTATGAAGCCGTCGTTCAACACCTTCAAAGACGCTATTTTTAGCCACGAAAGAACTGGAATTTCAAAGAAAAATTTTGAAGATCATATTGTTTATTGTACAAGGCTAAATGCAAGACAATTATTCAACATCCTTCGTCGAAGGGTTGGCCTTACAATTAAGGGTGTGTTTTTCCTGTTTTCTTAATAAAGTCCTCACAAATTCTCTCGTTCTTATTGAATGTACTCCAGAGATACGCAAACCACCTTGTGACAAATACCATCTTGCTGCAAGAATTTTAATCGAAAAAATATTTTTGAGAAAAACATAAAATAAATACTTTTTGAAAACAATTTAAAAATAGATTTATATCTTTACAGACAAGGAAAAACATTTCCTGTCTTTGTTATCAATCCAGACGCTACATGTCACTTGACCATCTATTATGCCACGAGCATTTGAACCCTACTAGTCACCTGGGTTATATAGTCACGGCTCACAACTATAGAACTCTCTCTTTATAAAAGAATGCAAACCCAATATGTGATTATCAGCAAATATGCACTGTATAGCCCACTAAACAAGAAAATAAAATATAGGTGAAGTAATTCCAAGAAAATCCTAGCTTGATAAATTAGAAATGTGTTTATAAAGAACAAAGTAATAATATACAAACTGAATATGACGAGGGGAAGAACCATAAAAGCTTTCGTCCCACTGGTCATTGAAAACACAACACCGATCAACTTAGCTAATTAATCGGCTAATTAACGTTTTATTAAACTGGATCTATGGTCTAGTTGTGTGAAGATGCTGCTCCTGGCATACCTTTGTATCTTTTGTGGTTGTAAATCAATGTTTTTATCAGTCTATAGTAGTAACATAGCTGTACAGTAACAGAAATTCTGCCTTTAAAAGAATGGCATCATTCTAGACAAGAATCTGTGACCTGGCGGCGACTCGAGAACACCTCTTCCGGCCACTTGTGTTAAGCCCACAAACACAGAACTCAAGAAGATCGTAATCTTCATCCCAGAACAACATGGATGCCTTCTCTGGATTCTCCAAGAGAACTTTCGATGTTAGGAAACCTGCAACCGTCCATGTTTGATAAAGTCGGGATTGCTTTCCAATAAACTTCCCACTTCGGGTATCATAATACTCTGGCCAATGGTCAACTTGAAGTCTCTTTTCGGCCAAAGCAACAGCCTTCTGAGCTAGTTCCATTCTACCCATCTTCATGCATGCCAATGTGAACTGAAAGCAAAACGGAAAGTATTCAGAGGGCAGAGATCAATCAAGAGATTCAAGGACAAAAGAAACAGCCATCACATGAGAAGTCCAAAAACAAAAACCATTCATCTTTGGACCACCAACACTGATTTTATTTCCGAAAAATGGCAGCACTTTGGATTTCATTTCCTTTTTTTTTTTTTTTTTGAGGGGGGTTCCCATGACTCTTTTTTCATTAGCATGACTGACCAGAAACTAGATTCCATTTTAACCCACGAAACTACAGAAGGTTTACTGAGTATGAATCAGCATTGCATGCTCGTCTGCTGGTTCCAAATCAAATTTGTTAAGCCTTAGCAAAGCATACATATAGCAAATGAAGTCAAATGTACCTGCCACAGAAGTGTTGGCCATGACCCACCATTATGATATGACCAAGGGCTGCAATGTACAATCAAATAGAGAAATTTTGTAGTTAATAGAAATTCTAAATTGAACAATGCATGCACATGCACAGAGAGTTTTAAGTCAAAATTTTAGACACTCACGTGTTCTTTGGGTCACTGCCGGTGATTATACGCCAATCCTCAGACTCCAGAGCAGGGTAACATATCTTAAGAGGCATATTTCCCACTAGATCATCCCATTTGGATTCAATCAGATTTAGAATAGCTTCATTTTGTTTTGGGGTACCCAAAGATGAGACAACAGACCAAAGATTTCCAAGAGTGAAAAATCTAAAATCCATGTGAGCTGGCTGCAGATTGCCAATCAGATATCCACCTTCCTCAGGTATCCAATCCATGAGCCACGATGGAATTTGTTCAGGATAAATATTAAATTTGTTGGTGGCTTCTGTAGAATACTCTTCTGTTTTATACCGGTATATCTCATTGATCTTTCTCATATCTACCCAATAGTATTCTCTAATGTGGAATGACAATGCACTGAGTCTGTTGTTGATAGCCCTCACCAAATTCTTTGATCCATCATTTACAACTAGCATCTCACGGGAAGACCGTAGAGCAGAGTAAAACAAGGCCTGCAGAAAGAGACTTGTGGTTGTAAGGTAAACCATAGATGAGTAAGCATTAAAAAAAATGAAAGAAAAAAAAAACTTGTACATATAGCTGGGTGATTACTGATTAACATTCTGTATTCATGTAAAAAAAATAAAGCAGCATCAGAGCAATGGTTAAAAGTGCATTGTAGATATGAGAAATATATAACAGACCAAAGGCACAGGCAAAGAGAAAGTTCGGTTTTTCATATCATTAACAGCATACCTCACAGCTGCATTCTATAGACCTTTCACTCATTACATTCGCAGAAAGTCGGAAAGTAGTTCATAAACCAGACTCAATTTCCATACATAACAATTAAAAGCAATGTAGCAATACATAGGTTATGGAACCTCCAAGCTCATATACAACAGAGCCATAAATTTCAACTAGGCAAAACTCCATATTGCTTGAATTTAACTACAAAAAGCATATTACAAGGACATGACAAACCACACTAACAATATGATCACGTATATTCCATTGTTCCATTGTCGAGGAAACAGAAATGCATTGACAACATAAATAGCCCAGGTCCAATTACCAACCAACAATCTCCAAAAGGACAAGGTAAGGAAATAACTCACTTGGATCTCAAGGGGGTGACCATGGATCCCCATCCGCCGATCTATCATGCAGGAGCCATCGGTGACTAGAAGAGAAGGCCCCCACCCGCCGATCTATCATGCAGGAGCCATCGGTGACTAGAAGAGAAGGAAACATATCAAACCCATCAGCTAAGCATAAGTTTAAGATCAGTTTTATGCCAGTCTGAACATCCACCCTTTCTTGTAAAGCATAGTCACCAGTGAGTTTCCCATATGCCCTCAATAGAATAATCCACCACAACCCTACAAAAAAGAAAAGAAGAAACACAGATGCTATTAATCAACAAGAATCAGTGAACTCCTAGGATCAATAGTTGTCTCCTGGAATATATTACAGCTACAGAAGTTGGACTTTAACAACTAGAATCAAATCCAAATACCATGGCAATTTTTAGAATCGAAATGTTCAAAGAGGTGCAATATACTAACCAGAATCCACAGGTGCAACACGGCCAATAGCTGATTCGCCAAAATCAGGATCTAAAACTTCTTCAAGTTTATTATCATCAAGAGGCACTGTTCTGACTTTAAAACTGGCAGGCATTAGCCCCTGTCCTGGGCTATAGCAGTCCACTGTTTTCTCCCAACTCTATGATAAAAAAAAAACAATTTTTTTTTTTTGTGATTTTCAGATCATCAAATTTAAAAACTTTCTATACATGCAATGATATGGTTAGCGAAAATGGACAATACGCAGAAACGTTAAAGAAAGGTCAGTCTGAAAGATGAAAAGAAGACATAACAAATCATAACCGATAACAAGGATAAAAAATCAAATCTTGGGAAACAGAAAATTTAGTATCAGATGGCATTTGAATGCTCTGATCATCAAAAAAAAGTTTAACAAGTTTTGCAAGCTGACATTCATACTAAAATTTGTAAACTATAATGGTCAACATGGAAAATTGGTGTATTTCATGACTTGTAAACAAATCCTCATTAATAACTTGTCACGCATAAATCAGGAATCTTAATACTGCTCAAACTAGAAGAATGATATAACTAAGAAATTATCATGTGGAACAATGAAAGGATAGATCAAACAAACATACAAAAGCGGCCTGGAATGTTACCTGCAATTGCAAGGCATGAAGCAAGAAATTCTTCACAATCTCCCCCTCTCCTCTAAGCAAAAAGGCGAGAGCTGAAGGAACAAAATCACGAACAAACACCTGATCATAATTCAATGGCATCTTATCCCCTGGATCATTTGCGGCCACGGTCCCCACAGGACTCCCACAATACATAACAACAGCATCATTCAACAACTTCCATGCTTCCTTTTCCATATCACTCTCTTCCCTCTTAGTACTAACAATCTCAACTCCTTGACCAACATCCAAATCCTGTCTATTTACACTTTCACCATCATCAACAAGAACCCCTAGCCTAGATTCTTCATCCCCTAAAACATTCTCATCTTTATCAATCCTCTCAACCACCAAAGGCTTAACACTAATCCCATTTTGCACAAAAATTCTCTCAAAATTCTTATCATTCACTCGTGTCTCAACAGACGTTGAAAACTCCCTGAATTGCGAGGCAACACTAGCAACAACAGAAACCCCCCTGCTATCTCCTGCTATGAGCCTAGATTGGCCAGAACTGATACTGGGAACCCAAAAAGATTTCCGGGATTCATTGAAAATGGTTCTGAACCCCAAGATTCTAAAAGGGCAGGTCAAAAACTGCTTGGTTTTATCAAAATTAAACTGATTCCCAGATAAATTGCTTATTAAACCATGATGGCGCTTAAAAAAGACTGGATTTTTCGTAGATATAAGAAATCTACAAGAGGGTTTCATTGTAGAATTGCCAATAATGCTAATAGTATTCATAGAGTCAAGAACCAAATAAAACAAATAAAAAATGTGTTGAAGCAAAAAGCCTGTGCCTTTTTAATTGTCAAGGTACAAGGAAAAAAAGTTTTATATTTTTTGCATTTACAAGCAAGAAAAGATTCAAGCTTTAATGAGCAAAAAGGATACTAGATTTTCAATAGAGCTCACAGGCAGAGAAAAGGAGAGAAATTGGTGATCTTTGACAGTAGATTTTGGTGTCTAAAGGAAGAGAACATGAAAACTCTTGTCGTTCGAAATATAGGCGGTTGCGAAGAAGGAAAGATTCTGTCTTGGTCATGCTGATCATAACAAAGATGGAAGGAGGTTGTTGATCTCTAGTCAAGGTTTAAATGACTATAATACCCCTAACCTGAATTGTTTTCTAGCCCCTGAAATTCTTGTGCTGTTATAACTTAGTCCTTAAATCTGAAGCCTTACAACTTAGTTCTTTAACTATTGTTGACCGGAAAACCATTCGAAACATAAAAACAAACGATGAACAGTTCATTATTCCTTACGAGCACAACAAAAGAATGGAAAGAAAGGCTCGAAAGTATTTGGTAAAACCTCAAAAATTGTACCCCAAAACGATTTTTATTTTTTTGATTTTGTACAAATAATTTTGATCTCTTAATTAGGGTTTCGTGCTAGAAGTTCTTAACAACAAAATGTTAGATTCCCTAAAAAAATTATAATTTATACGCATGGAAGATCTAATTGAGAATTTCTCAAACACGAGGGACAAGATTGGGTATTTTGAGGATTTCCGAGGATGTTATCCTCTCATTCACCGAACTGACCAAAGCAAAAGAATAGCCCCTCACATCCCCATAGGCCATGGATGCGTGTCTAGCCAATGGCTGCTCATGAATTGGTGTGTTCAATTTTGGCGTTGCGTGTTTAGCCAATGGCTCCTCGTGAATTGGTGTGTTCAATTTTGGCTTTAACGAGAGTCTACTCACATATTCTTGGAGGTGTTTGTTTTGGCCATTTATATCTGTGGATATTAGGGTTTTGAGGTTTCATGATCATGGGCCATGGCGCATGGATAAGTGCTAGTGACGTGCACAGAGATTGCCCTCCAATTCCTGTCATCTCTCTCTCTCCGTCCACTACTAGCTGCCATGGAAATTCCCCACCACTGAAAATTTCCGATTGGATTGCACTTTTTCTCAACTTTTGGATCCTGTATTTTCCCTTTCATTCCAAAATCCAAGACTGCATTTTGCAATTCCAAGATTGATGTTGACGGCCTTTTCTTCTGTTTTTTCTTTGAAAAGGTCGCTGCTATATTTGACGTTGAACCATCTTGGGAGTTAACTTGGATTACCTTCCCAAGTTAATACTTGGTTAAGTTAAAATTCGAGGTAGATCGAAACCAATACTTTTATATTCAAAACACTGTTGTTTAGTTTTTTTAAAAAAAAAATGTCAAAAACACTTTATTTTCAATAAATATTAAAAAATAAATTGAAGTTAACTCATCAAACTTAACTCACCCATGAAAGAAAAAAGTGCAGCAAAGAATGGAAATCAAAAGACATTTGAGTTTATCCATGGAAAAAGGACAGCTGAACCATGACCAAGTATACAGAAAAGCACATGGTTTTTGAGGGTGGCCACGGAGAGAGACATGGCTCCTTCATTCAACAATGGTGGAAAAGGTCAAATTGACTACTTGTTGTGGGGTTGTGCCAAACAAACTAGGGCAACCCACGTCAATGGTCTTATCCCTATGTTGAGGGCACCAGGGCTAGCCATCCCTCGTCACTGTTGTGATGGAGGATAGGCTCCTCCTACCTTTTGGACCTTTTCTTGGGCCAGGGAGTGAGTGGGCCAGGTCCTGGTTTTAATAACAGTGCAATAAACAAACATAATGGGCTCTAGATTGAAATTTTAATTCTTTATTTTGGGTCAAGTCTTAACATGAGGCCCATGTAATTTCCTTGTAAGAAAGCTAAATCCGTTGTCCAATACAATTCAAAAACGTATGCTTTGACCCTACTCCATCTCATCCTCGACCTTTCTATCCCCTCTCAACAAAACACTAGTTTGTATGTCACAAACTTATCAAGAAATGGCAAGACCTCTTGACTCGTTTCCTCCTCCAACTCAACTCACCCACCATACTCGTTATCGTCCTCCTTGGCTCAGTTGCTCAATGCCCATCTCGCCAAATTCCACCTGCTTCAGCTTCATTCCTCACAACAAACAACGGGTATGTCTTGTCTTTCAAAAAACTATAATTTCTCATTCAGACAGTGCCTTTCCTCCATGCCTCTTGCTTTTACCTTCCATGTTTACTTCTTTTTTCTTGATATGAAACGTGAATTTGGTGTACTTTCCATGGTCAAATCCCCATTTGTAGCTAGGAACCCAAATTGTGAAATATGAAAAAAGAAGCAAGAGAGGAGGAGTTTGAATTTATGGGATTATTGTAAATTATTTGAGCAGCATGATCTTTTTAGTATATTTTCATATGGTTTCTTTATCCAGTATATGACTTGGACTAGATTTAAGGTAGTCCAGTTGTATTACAGCAAACATGATCTCTTAGTCTCACATGACCAAATATATGTGAAAGTAACTAGTTACTGAATGCCAGTGGCAACCATTAGGTGTCAAGCTGATAAGGCGGAATGTAGGATTCCAAAGGGTTGGGTACTGAAATTTCAAGGATTCCTATGGTTTGCAGGGAATGCTTGTATGTGATTTCCCTCCTTTAGAAAAACGGGATCCTGATATTCTCAGGCACACTTTCTTGTTTTTTTTTTTTTTTTTTTTTTTTTTGGGGGGGGGGGGTGTACAGAATGCTGATGCTCCAAGTATAGGCTCAATGCCGATGGTCATTAGGGCCATTGGATTTGAAAGAGATGGTAGAAAGGGACCCATTAGATTCAAATTGAATGGCCTAATGGCCATTGGCATGGTGCTGATGCGCAAGCATCGGCTTTGTAGGAATCCCACCTAGCAAACACATGCTAGCTTAAAGGGTTTTGATCTCATGACTATGTTACCTTTAGTCTTCTTATTAAGTAGCTTGGTGTTATGAAATGGGTTATGTGTTTTTATGTTGCTGTACCCTGAATGTTTTTTGGATGATAAAATATCCCCATTTTCTTATCTAATATGCAACTTTCTGTCTTATCATTAAGCCGCTTCAAATTGCTTCTCACAACATGTTTTTTTATGTAAACATAATCAGACTAAAGCTTTTGCAGTTCCAAGGAGAAATGCAATGGCATTGATCTTGTCAAGTTACATTTTCTCAGAAGTTGGTTTCAACAATATTGCATTTGCTCAACAGTCTGTTGGATTCAGGGAATACATTGATCAATTTGATGGGTATTCATTGAAGTACCCTCAGAATTGGATTCAAGTTCGAGGTGCAGGAGCTGATATATTCTTCAGGGATCCTTTTGTTCTTGATGAAAATCTCTCAGTGGAGTTGTCATCTCCTTCGTCCTCAAAGTACAAGAGTGTTGAAGACTTGGGTCCTCCAGAAGAAGCTGGAAAAAAAGTACTTCAGCAGTATTTGACTGAGTTCATGTCTACTAGACTTGGCGTCAGGCGGGAATCAAATATTATTTCAACATCCTCAAGAGTCGCAGATGATGGAAAGCTTTATTACCAAGTTGAGGTAAGTTGTTATGTGTCAGAAAGAAGCCAGTCACATGCATGACAGAGCTTATTAACTAGTGATTATTGCGGTGAAGATTATTTTCCTTTTAAGTGCATAGAACTGTTTCTAATCAGACCGTCATGTTATCAGGTAAACATCAAGTCCTACGCAAATAACAATGAACTGGCTGTTATGCCTCAAGAAAGAGTAGTTCGTTTGGAATGGAACCGGCGGTATCTGTCCGTTCTTGGTGTTGAAAACAACAGACTGTATGAGCTAAGATTACAGACACCAGAAAATGTATTTGTAGAAGAGGAAAATGATCTTCGCCAAGTCTTGGATTCCTTCAGAGTGAATAAAGTGACTGTTTGAATAGATGAGTTCTTATAGATTTATCCAACATTTTGTACGTTGGGATTCATTGTTTTTGTTGTTGCCTTTGCTGCCTTCTTTATTTTTTATTTGGAAGTGTCAAATTGATAGTTAGATCTACATCCAATGTCAAATTTGTCTTGCAATAGTGTTTTCTTCATTGCATCCTTCCTCCGGTGTTTGGTGGCATTATCAAGTTGATACTGAACATGTTCCATCCTCTATCTTCAGTGCATCACTCCTGCGTACTAAACTATTTTGGTGATGGGAGTCTCAACATTAATTGCCCTGAGTTTGTCCACAGGGGCACTGCAGGACTTTTTGTGACGGGAAAGCAACATCTAGAAACAGAGAAAGGATTGACAATGAGAGCCAACGCTTTCAGTGATGAAAAAACAATCACAATTAACTTTGTTAAAAAAATGTTATACGAGTCCAAATTGGAAATTCTGAAAGTATCCTGTAACTCTACAACAAAAAAAATCATATGCCAAGCAGCAAAACAAATTGGAATTTATCTTGATCCGATACAAAAATCTATGACCTAACTTCATATAGTCCTGATCTTGTGAGAGCTCGAAAGCCTTTATAAAGACGACTTGGCACAACCCTGAGATCCAGTTTATCTAATTGCAGGCCAGAAAGGGCAACACCCTGGATCCTAAAACCCACTCGAAATGTGGGAAATACATGAAGGCGCTCTAATCCTGTCTCAAGCATGAGTGTTCCAGACAATGCAGGGGCTCTATCTTTCGGTATTCGATCAATTGACCAATTGCACATCTGCACATACAAGTTAACAAACTAAATAATCAAACTCAGCTGTAATAACCAAAATCAGCCACGTAAAAAAACAAAGAAAGATAGAATCCAGCCTGAAAGAACTTTCCTTTTTCATTTTTAAACCAAGAAAATAAAATTCACAGCCCTTCTTTATAACTCACCTGCGATCGAAGATTTGTCAAGTAATAATATAGATGTTCAAAAGAGTGGCACAGAATTAGCATTTTCATTATCTTTTTCTTTTTTTTTTTACTTTTTGCGCTGCATAATCAAAGGTGTCGAGATAATTTTTCTCACCAAACATTAAAGGTATCAGGAAGTTACCTTGTTTGTGAAGACGGTCACTGTTCCATGATTTGCAGTCACATCAGCTGATAAAACACATGAAGGCAGTTGAAATTGCACTGTTATTGAGTCAACCATCTTTCCAGGGTCATTTCGTATTCCAACCATCACATTGATGCGGCATGTCCCAGCATCAGATGTAATCTGTGGCTTTACATATATCGGGGTACTTTTCAACTTTTTAACCCTGGATAAGGGAGGTAAGTTATTTAAATAGAAAAACAACAGTATACACGTGAACAAAGTGACTAAGAAGTAAGAGACATATGTCCGCATCTTTCCCAAACAGATCTATCTTGAAGATATATTACATGATAGGAAAGCCTCAAATTAGTAAGCTAAATGATCACAAACTGGCACTAAAGAACAAAAACTTTTAGGATGTGTTAGACACTACGAACCTGTAACTCATGAGCTTAAACAGTCCATCAGGAGGCACAAATGATAGGATATGATGGGATTCCCATGGTCGAAACCGAACACAGGGATGAAATCTGACATCATCCATAATAGATGGGTTTGCAAATGACAGAGTCAATTCAGGAACACCTGTGATATGGGAGTTTACTTGAACTTCACCATAAATCTCACACTTTACCAAGACCCCGTCCCTGAAAAATACATTTGAAAGAGAAGATTGCTTAGCCACTTCAAGTATGAAACCATGCAGGATAAATATAAGAAACATTCAATAATAACAACCATAAAAGCAAATTTCTTAGACCTTTACTTGACATGGAGTTTCTGAGAGCCTCTAAAGTAAAACAGTTCGTATGGAAGTGAAAAATCAAAATAGTAACATAATATTCTCAACACCAAAGAATGGCAAGTGACACTCCAGATCTGCATTCAATACAAGAAACATATTGAAGCAGTCAGACAGATAGTGATACTCATGAGATGGTCCCATTCCCCATTTGTTATGTACTAGTGGCAAATAATTTGTAATGGACTCTTCGTAATGTAAAGTCATATGTGAACTATCTATAGGAAAACTCAAAATTATGCACGTTGAATTATAACCATGTCTATGGAGATACTCAAATAACCAGTTCATGGGAGCTCACGGGAGCTGTACCTAATGCAAACAATTAATTTCCTAGAAAATTTTTAAGAACATAGCTGTACCTATTTATAATTGCATCCATTTCTTCAACAAGATCAACATAAACTTCATTGTTAGCATATTTTATGTCTGTTGTTCTCCACGGAACACAAGATGCTGTTGCACCTGGAAGAGTGTCGCTCACATTTGAACTGTTACCAGTCACAACACTCAGCATTTTGCTCACAATATTTGGTGGAGCTATCATCTCCCTCAGGATATTAGGTTCTGTGGTCAGGGGGAAGCCATTGTCTATCATCTCGTCCAAAAGCTGCAAATTTTAATTAAAATGCTGGTTTGTGACCACAAAATAGGGAAAAAAAACCAGGGAAAGGAGGAAAATCTTGAACCAAACGAGAACTTTCAGATTCTGAATTTACCCCTTTTAACCTCAATCAATGAAATAAATATGAAAGAAAAGCACCTTTATTTTCAATCTTCTATTCAGAATTTTTTTCACTGTAAAAATTATTAAAAATACAAGCTGAAAACACTGTTTTGTATTGTTCATACATAAGGTGAAATATGTCATCTTTTGGTTTTAATACCATATAATATAGAGGACACCTGAAAAAACAGTGTAATTACTATTAATTACAGACATAATGTATTGAAAGAGTGGCTTTATATTTTCAAACAAACCTTAAGGTTGATTCTGGAGCATACCATTGAAACCTTTCTCTGAAGTCCCAAAACAAACTAGTAATTGGATCCTATACATGAGTCATGACCATTTTCAAACAAACATTAAGGTTGATCCTCGAGCATGCTGAAACCTTTCTCTGAAGTCCCAAAACAAACAGTCTAATGACTAGTAATTGGATCCTATACATGAGTCATTACCACTTCTAAGACCAGGCATTTCCATATAATCCCAAAATATTGCAAGAAATTATGTTATTCTATTAATTCACATCAAGAAACTACAATAACGATCGAATATAAAACATTATGCAGAAAAGTACCTCATAAACAATGACAAAGTTATCCTTTATCACATCTTCATTCAACCCTTCAAGGTAATCTGAGAGGACATCAGCTACTCTGCAAAGAAACTGAAAATCTAGTAGGTAAAGGGCAAGGATTTCAACACATACATAATCACACTGCAATCACAAAGCACATAAAGCTAAAAATATCTACCTCAATGCCCATCAAAGGTGGCATTTCAAGTTGAGTGCAAGCTAAGAAAGTGATTCCCTCCCGGACAATTTGGAACAAGTAATGCGTCGGTGATGCAATAACTGATTGTTGCTATCAAAAAAACAGAAGAGAAAATGAAAAATACAACACAATGGCAATAGCAACAACAACATAGAAAAACTGAAAACAACTCAAAATTTCAATTGAAAAAAAGAAGCTTTAAGAAAACAAGGAAAAAACAGTTAATATAAACATGAATCCTAGACCAAAGCTAAGATTGAAATCAGATCCAGAAGTTTAAATCCCAAAATGAAGCAAAACAACATTGTCAAAAGCCACACAGGTACCAGAATGAAACTCAAAAAGATAATAGCTTGAGACTAAACATGCCAAAAACAGAGAACATAAACCTCAATTACACAAAATAAGAATAAAATCAAACCCAGAAGTTAAGACTCCAAAAAAGAAGCTAATATAAACATGAATTACAAAAAAAAAAAAATCAGATTATACCAAGCCCAGATTCCAAAATTGCAAAACAAATCCAGCAAACAATGTTAAAGCTTCAAAAGTACCTTAAAGGAATCACCTTGAGAAATGACTTGATCCCAAAACCAAGCACAAATGGATCTATCTACTTTATGCCCAATTAGCTGTTTCTCTAGCATTACCTCCCTGTCACAAAATATCACACAAAACACACAAAATTCAGTTGGTGATATTAATCAGATCAAATAAAGATGAAGGATTTATTGTTTATGGATTTAAAAGATTTGTTTTTGATGGATTTTGAGACTTGCCCGGAATCTGAAAGAATAAATATACACTGCAACATTTCTCTCTGTGCTGCTGCTTATTTTCTTGATCTTTGGAGGATGGAGGTGAAGAAGAGAATTAGAGGGAGTAAGGCAGTAAGCAAAAAGGTATTTCGAACGGTTTTTCTGTGAATGAGTTCGGTAGGAACTACAAGGGAAAACGTCGAAATTGCCCTCTAATTATAACTTGGATATCATTTTAGTCCTCAAACAAGTTTTCTTATCTAAAAAGCCCTTTGAGTATTTAGAAATGTCTATTGAGTTTTATTTATTTATTTTGATTTGAATCTTTCACAATTTTTTTATGGTAATGGACAAACTCCTGAAACATATATGTAAGTCATTAATGGATCTGAATAGAGGGATTCAATTGATAATGTTCTTAAAACAAGAATCTGATAGCAACAAAAAATCATTTAAGAACTCAATTGAGAAGCCTTCTATAGTTGGGGGATTTACTTGAGGTTTAGCCAAATTATAAAAATATCATTTTATTTATGTGTTTCTTGATAAATAAAATTTTGGAACGAATAAAAAGTTGGTGTCTCTCCCTAAAACAAAAGAGAGGATTGAGTGAGTAAAACCACTCTCTTGTTCAAAGTAACAAACAAACAGAGGAGTCCTTTTTCCTCGTTTGAAAACAATATTTTATTACAAAATATTCCAAATTTATTTTATTTCATGTTTCTTTCTTCATTGTTCTAATCGAACACAGCACCTTGGAAAGCAAAACATAAGATAAGAGTCAAGGAAAGCCGAAGTAGAGAACAAAAATTGACAACGCTTGAAACAAAAGACTTGACAGAGAGCATGAAACTTAGACTAGCTCTTTGGGGCATACTATTTTTGTTCCTGGAGTTAAGATTTGTGTTTTACTACCTGCTTTTTTAGTGTCAAATACCGATATATTTATTTTCTAACTGGGTGCCTATGCTTTCCAGCTGCTTTGGAGAGTTTTGTCAGGCCTTGCTCTAAAGACCTTGTTCTGTCTTTTGTTCAGCCTGCCTTGCTCGTTCTGCTGCTTGATTTTATCGGTAAATAATTCATCTAGATAGATTTGAGCATGACAACATATGAAGATAATTACTCTCGCAACTCTTGGCTCAACAGCATTGTATAGGTTTCATTGAAGCCTGTGAAGACTGCTTCACTGGTTCGTAAATCGTACTCATTTGTGCTAAAAGGGAGCTAAAAATATGATATTAATTACACTCAACAGCAAAATTATTTTTCTAACATTATCAGTTTTCGTAATTCATTACACAAATCATTAACTGTCTCAGAGGTCAACAAAACATATATACTGTATCCTACAGAATTTCAAAGAATCAGCCGACTCAATGCTCCCAGTTTGTATGCTGCCAACACCAAATTTCAACTCTCTTGAACAAGTGCCACCACTTTCGCCTTATGCCCACCTTATGCCCACCTTCTGCAATGAATGACTCATACAACACTGAATGCTGACTGTATGGTAGATGAGACTCGAGATGCAATGGTCTGGGTTGCAAACTGCTGGAACTGCTTCTTGGCATCTAAAAGAAAGAAGAATAACTTTTTATTTCTTTGCTGATAATTACAAAAAAATGAATAAAATAACCAAAGGAGGTTAGGTAACAGACCCAAGCAATCAATGTTATAGAAACAGTTAAGGTGCTAGAAACACTTCTAGCTGCAATAGAATTAGTTGATAATTCTATGGTACCAACATAAGCACAGAGTAACTTAATCAAAATGAGTTACAGTGCAAGCAGCAACTAAGTTCATCCATATTTATGGCGATTAGCAAGGTTACTTCAGAAACTGTGACAGATCTGCAATCATACCAATTGTTTAGTTTTCCCCTCCCTCACACACTTGCCTAGAAGGAGGTTATATTATCTAAAATAGCATAAGAACTAATCCAACTCAATTCTTAAGTTAATTTGATCTTGATCCTGATGATAAGTTAATAGGTTCAAAGCAGAACAGCTTATAAGGCCGTTGGCATCATGATGCAGATATTGGGCATCTGATAGGTTTATCTAGTAATAACCCATCAATGCCTTGCCTATCTTGGCATTTTATTTAGGGTATGCTAGTGATCAATCAAAACCCAGTGTCACAGCCTCAACATGGTCCTTGAAGGCTGGGTCAGATTCATCTACACCAATGGAAATTTCAAGTTCCTATGGTCCGCATCTACTTTCCACCATAGGAAATACATGGATAAGAACAATACCCGGCCTAATGAACAGCACTAAAGACAAATTTAAGCAAATGATACAAACTCTGAAAACCAAAAAAGAAAAGTCTCCTTGCTCACCTTTGCGACATTTGGTGAAGCCAACAATGTTTGCAATGCTGAGAGTCAAGCATACTCCAACAATGAGGCAGTAATCTGGTTCGAACCTTATGAGAGAGAAAATTCCAAGCACAATCCAAGCAGCTGCCTGCAACGTTAAAGGCAAACAAGATCAAATGTAGAAAGGAGAGGAAAACAAAAGATCAAATGTACAAAGAGAGGAAAACCAAAGATGAGTTTATATCTGAATTTTAACAATCAAAAACGTGCAAACAACCACAACCAGACAAGACCATTCTATAACAACTTATAAACATTCTTGAATCAGGATCTTGTAAAAAAGAGATGAATAGTTTAATTTACTTTCAGCTGTGAACTATCTTGCATTTCTTTAGATCTTGACTGGTATTCTTTGTACATCCAATCCCAAATGTTTTACAATTATGATACGCCAAGGATATTTTCAGTCAGTACCACACAACAATAAAATCTTATTTACTTACTGCTAGGTACAGAGTCCACCAGAACAGCCACGAGTCTTTCTTGTTCATCCGGGCCAATGACTAATGCAAAAACAAGGATAAACATGGATGAGATTCATTTTGAAAATCAAACAATCAAGCAAGAGTTTTGAAACTGACCTCTTGGTCGAGGGATTCAAATTTCCACACGCTCTCACCCAGATCATTTATCTCATTCCACCACCTAAGGCCAACTAGAATCCGACCGCTCACATTCTTAACCACCCAAAAATCAAGAGCAGCAAGAAGCACAGTCACCACAAAAATGATGACAAAGCTATTAAAAAACAGAGTAGAAAGTATGTAAAATGCCAAAGCTCCAGCCTGCAGAAAACAAGAAACACAAGGTTGTCATTATGTTCTATTGAAGTTAACTCAAAAAAGCTAAACTTGTGAACACAAATTAGATATGTGACATACCTTAAAGAGAACATGAAAGAAACATGTCTTTGGATTGGCATAATTTTCAACGGGGGGCTGTCAAGAGAGTTAAACATAAATTATTCACGTGGAAAAACAAAATTCAATCAAATCCCAATCAGGATTTGCACTTTATATATATAACAATACTCACATCTCATAGAACCTAAGACAACAAAGGGGAAGACATGCTAGAAGAAGCACTACACTCTCTCATTCCAAATTTCATAAATTCAGTCCTTATCATTAGACTCCAAAAGGAATCTCAGAATTAAAGAATTAGACACCAAATATATGCTATACGATTTGAATTATATGCCAAAAATTAAAGATGTTGATCATTGACTATATAGTAAATTACTGGATCCTTCATCACCAACACGAAGGAAAACAAAACAATATCCCAACCTGAGTTCTACTAAAATGATTCAGCATATTAAAAACAAACTAAATACGTCATTCGGTATCCATTAAAATGACTTAACAAAACGGCAATTTCTCATTCGGGTTTCGATTAAAATGATTATATGAAACAAAACAAGCTCAAAATCCCATATGAGTTTCTATCAAAACCACCAAACCCTGAAAAAAAAAATGCAATATCCCAATTGGGTCTTCACTAAACACAACAAAATGCCCTTTTCTTTCTCCAAACTGACCCCCACATGAGACTTACAATGCCTTTGTCAATCTCGAAATTGGCCCATCAGAAACCTTGGCTTGACAGATCAAAACAAATCACATGGGCAATTACAGTGCAACTCAACATCAAGATCATTAGATTTCTCAAAAACACAATATTCAAGATCATAATCTCCAATAAAAAAACAGATCTAATAAACAGTACAAACTCATGCATAAGTTAGAAGGTTGATCGAGCCCCAAAATTGTATGCCACAGGATGCAATGAATTGTAGAGAAAATTAAGAGAAAGAGAGTGGCTTAACTCACCTGGATAGGATCCATTTTAGAGATTGTCTTCTTCTTCTTCTTCTTCTTCTTCTCGTTTGCTCTGTGAGTTTGTTGATTCACAGAGAGTTTCTGTTAGGGGGGACCTTTGTTTACGTTTTCCGCTTGGATCCAACATTTTCAATTCTTCATATTTATGGATCAGTCCTTTTAGTTTTACAAAGTTATTCTAATTACCCAAATTCCATTTAAGGAAAAACAAAAACTTCAATTTAGTCACAAATAGATATACTCATTCTTAATTGAGTCCCAATTCCCAAACCATACATTTAATAAAAAAAATATTAAAGGAGAGTGTTGGCTCATATTTGTCTTGGCATGTCAATTTCTGCTATGGGCAAGATATAAAGAGTAACTTATCCTTTAGTCTCTGGATTTTTATATAATTATAACTTAATCCTTCATGTTTAAAAATATATAATTTAACCCCTTTACTCTGGTAGACCCTTCGCTCTAATTTTTCTCTAGGAACTTAAATGTTGGAAGAGTAAACTTTGAATTTACTAAAAAGAGCCCACTTTCTTTTTAAAATTCCATTTTCAACAAGAATCAAGGGGTTAATTTATACTTTGTCAAACATAAATGATTAATTAGTAGCTAGTTTCAAAACTTAGGGGCTAAGAAAAGTAGTGGTCAGAAAAAACAGAAGGGGATGCTAATTCATTGTTCATAGTTGGGTGTGATCGTCTTTGCAATGGAACCATTTTGACTATTTGAAATTGATCAGGGATATGATTCTTTTTGCATAATAGAATTACATCAATGCCCTTAAAAGAAAAAAAATGTCAATTGCTCTACCATCTTTAAATGATACATATAATTGATTTCAATAATTAAAAAAGTTATTTTTAATGTCTTTTTTATAAATATATAACACATGCACCAAGAAGAATTCTGATTTGGCATCCACAAGCATTTTTTTCTTCTTTTTTGCCTTGTCTTGATGTCTTCTTTATAGATATGTTTTAACATTTTTTTTATTTAATTGAGTTATCTTGAATTCTTTATTCCATTTGCTTTTCTAGATTTTATTTTAGCAAAAAAGGCAACCTTTTATGAGATTGTTATTTAGATTTTTGTTATGAGTGATGTTCATGATAGAGTAACAATGAGTTTCTAATGATTTTTTTTTTCTCTAGATGTCATATTAATAGCTCTTTTATTTTAATTAATTATTATCAAATATTGTTTTATAATTTATTTATTATTGTTTTTGTATAATTTAAATTAAATTATTAAACTGTCCAATTTTATTGGATCTCATCAAGTTAATAAAACGAGTATAAGTTTTTTTTTTTGTTTTTTAATATTATTAAAGAGCATTCTTTTTGTATTCTCAAGTATTTTTTACTGGTACATGCTGTCGCACGGGTCACCGATACAGTAGGTTACTTAAACAGAACAAGAGGTGGTGATGTTGTGCATGAATGAGAGGCTGTGGATATAACCAAAGTGGAGTGGATGATGGAGTCATTGTCTTATCTTAAATTGTTAGAAACCAAGAAAAAATAAATAAAAGGAAAGGAAACTTTCAAATTTCTGTTTCAACAAACTTGGAAAGGCAAAGAGAGGATAGTAGTAGTAGAGAGACTAGAGAGGTATAAGCATACGATGGCTAGGTTGGTGGCTGTGCAGCAGCAAACTCAGCCTTCTTTCTCTCTTCTTCCTTCCTCTCTCTCTGACTTCAATGGCACCAGACTCCACTCTCAAGTTCAGGTATGTCTTTCTGTTTATCTCTTTATTTGCTTTAGATTAGTGTATGTCTATAAAATGTCTTGACAGTTGTGTGTTTTTTCTTGCAGTGTAAGAGAAGGGTATGGCAGACAAAGGGAGCACTACAAGTTTCAGCATCAAGTTCCAAGAACATTCTGATAATGGGAGGCACTAGATTTATTGGTGTGTTTTTGTCTAGACTTCTTGTCAAAGAGGGTCATCAGGTAGTCTTATCTCTTTTTGGTATCTTCTTTCAATTTTTCACGTTATGGAATCCATCAATTTTCAATGGAAAGTAACTGTAGTGGTGCTTCTTGGCAGGTGACCTTGTTTACCAGAGGTAAAGCACCAATTACTCAACAATTGCCAGGTGAATCAGACCAGGATTATGCTGATTTTTCTTCCAAGGTATTTGTTACCCTAATGGGGATGAAAAAACTCTTCCTTGTTATTAGTTTCATCTGTAAGGAAATAAAGGTACTAGTGCTGGACTCAGTAGGCCGAGATTTTAGTTACTGATCATGATTTTCTAGATCTTGCATTTGAAAGGAGACAGGAAGGATTTTGAATTTGTGAAAACCAGTCTTGCTGCAAAAGGCTTTGATGTTGTCTATGACATAAATGGTATAGAACATCTTTTCTTTACTTTACAGCAATGAATTCTGGCAAAATGTTCTGCTCTTTACTTCTGATACCTATTTATCTTTTCAAAATGTTTTTAGGCCGCGAGGCAGTTGAAGTTGAACCTATACTGGATGCTCTACCAAAGCTTGAACAGTAAGCTCTCAACACTTTTTTCATGATTTTGTATACAATTCTACAAGTCATGTGCATGATCATTTCATTGCTAGCTTTTATTGAGCCTTTAATTGGTCCTATGTCACTTGTTTCGAATTTTGGTATGGGTATCGGTTTGATTCTTGGTATTGATAATGAAATTCCCTAATCCTTGATAGCTTCCATGCATCTCACGCAAAACCACATTTGTTATCTTCAACACAATTAGTTGATACAGCCGATCTTTAATATTGCTACATAAGAGAAATTCAACATTTCAGAATTCCATGCTGCATAAGCATCTCTGTTCTTCGGCAGAAATTCAATAGAAAAACTGTTGTTTAATTACATGATCAAAATCTTGTCTTTTCTATTTAAATATCATGCAGGTGAAATTTGATGAGTTATAGTTAAGTTATAAGAAATCAGGAAACTTTACAAACTCTGTAGCCTTTCCATAACTGCCGCTGTCTTTGGAAATCTGAAGTTCTGTTAATTCCCAGGTTCATATACTGCTCTTCAGCTGGAGTTTACCTCAAATCTGATCTTTTACCGCACAGCGAGGTAGGTCTGATAGCAGTCCTTATGAAACTCATTGAACAATCGCAAAGAACAGGTTTTCTTTTTCTGAATCTTCTGGTAACAAATCTCTTCTAACTAGGTGTTGTCTGGTTACAGAAAGATGCAGTTGATCCAAAGAGCAGGCACAAGGGAAAGCTTGAGACAGAGAGCTTACTAGAATCAAGGGGCGTCAACTGGACTTCTATAAGACCAGTCTACATCTATGGGCCCTTAAACTACAACCCTGTTGAAGAGTGGTTCTTTCATCGGTTGAAAGCAGGCCGCCCGATTCCAATTCCCAACTCAGGAATTCAAATGACTCAACTTGGTCATGTAAAGGTAAGAAAATCTTCGATTCCATATTTCAGTTATTCTGAAAGCCACTTTGGCATGAGTAAAATGAAAGCAAGTTTCTGACCTGATGAGTTCAAAATTCCCAGGATTTGGCAAAGGCTTTCATTCAGGTTCTTGGTAATGAAAAGGCCAGCCAGCAAGTATTTAACATATCAGGAGAGAAGTATGTCACCTTTGATGGATTAGCTAAGGCATGTGCGAAGGTAATTGTGGATTATGCACTACTGACTATATACTAGGTAGTAAAAGTTTTGTAGCTCTTTCTGTGGCTTTTTGGCTGAATTAACGTTTCTGACTATATCGTTTGATCTTTTTTATCTCAGGCTGCTGGGTTCCCAGAACCTGAGATTGTTCACTACAACCCTAAAGATTTTGACTTCGGGAAAAAGAAGGCGTTTCCATTCCGTGACCAGGTAATTTCTGACAGAATTTTCGATACCCAATTAACGTTATTAGCTTATAACATGGTAACAACTACTTTCTGTTTTGTGTATAATGCAGCATTTCTTTGCCTCGATTGACAAAGCAAAGCATGTTCTTGGATGGGAACCCGAATTCGACCTCGTGGAAGGTCTTGCAGATTCTTACAACCTTGACTTTGGCAGGGGAACATACAGGAAAGAGGCTGATTTTTTCACCGATGACCTGATTCTAGGCAAGAGCCTTGTTCTTCAGGCCTAGATCATTCATCTTCTTTTCTTCACCTGTTTCCTTTCCTTCTGCTATCTATTTTTCTTCTCCCATCTTCTCTGTCTTCTATTTGTTTCCAAATTTTCCACAAGTTCAACAATAACAACAAGAAGTTGAAATATTTGCAATATAAAAATGAAACTCAAACTAGACCAAAGAAAACGAATATGCAGGAAACATAAGTGGATGGTCAACAAATTTGTAGAAATACTTCAGTACAAGTGGATGATATATCAACAGCTTGCACTAATGACATTGCTAATCAAATGTTTTTGGAAGTAATTCTGAATACAGTTTTGAAAAGCCTATCACATTTTCAGCATTCATAATCTAGCTAAGATGAGCAGCAGGTCACCATAAAAAGTTTCCAACAAGTGACTCCATGAGCTCTCCTGACAACTAAAATCATGGTTAAACAATTCGCACTTTCCCTAGTGCAATCTTCCAGCAGTCACTGTCTTAGCAGAACAACAATAAAAGAAGTTGATGCTATCTTTTTCCCAGTGGAAATGATTTTTCTTGTTAATGTTTCAATTCAGAAATTAGAGTAAGGATCACAAAAAACATTGAAGCTATGATCAATGGAACAAAACAAACATTAGAGTCAATGCAGCAGCCAGGCTAGATCATTTTATTGCGTTCATAATAGTCAATCAAATTCATACAAAAGAATGTGTAATAGAGTGGTGCTACCTGTTTCAGAACTTACATTCTGAATATAAATTGAACCCTCTGCATCGTCACGGTCTAATTGCTGGATGTGTCAGGAAACTACTTCTTATCCACATATACTGACACTCTTATATCCATTTCTTCTTTCAAATCTCACAAGATTCTTAAATACTGTATTGTCTTTCAGATTGTAGATATCTAATTCGTTCTCGTTATTATTAGTATAACTTCACCTTTCTTTTTAAGAGCTAATAGCTTCAACCACTTTGGTGATGATCCTAAATCTTTACTGATGAGACACCTCCAGGATTCCTGCACTCCATATTCTTCCATTTCATACTCTCCAGTTTGTACTAATCCTTACGATGCTCACAAGGCTAATTGGTCAAATAATATCCTCCGCCCACTGTTAAATTCAAGCAAGCTGTAGCCGCTTAGTTTTAGTGACCAAACACGCACTCCAAGAAATTGGACCATAAATCATTGCTGCTGTTACGATCTCTTGAGCCATTTACAAATTAACGCTCCTCATGTAATTTCCCCTTTCTTGGAATTGATGTTCATCAAAAGAAGGAAATTCTACTTGGTTTAATCTCCTACAAAGAATAAGATTATGGACGACTCCTAATTTCTGAAACAAGTAACAAGGCATTACACTGAGGACAGATATTGGGACGTAATGCAAAAGATTTGATGTCAAATGCCCAATTTTGATACCCCGAAGTATAATGGTTTAATCTAATCAACTCTGTATTCAACTACTTGATTGGTTCAGAATATTTCATGGCAGGTAACAAATAATAAGCTCATAATTTATTCATCATGATGTTTTGTACATGCATATACAGGCTTCAACACGAGAAGCGGGATTATCGGTTGCGTTCTCATCAGGATTTGTTAAGCTAGCCTCCCACTTTGATCCTCCATGCTCATGACTAGGATTGGAAGAAAATATACACACAGCTTTCAAGAGAGCTAAAAACATGTTTGGGAGGGAGAAGAGAATTGCATGCAGAAAACTACCAAGACAGGAGTGACCATTGGTGAGAAAAAGCAACACCATGACAGCTGAAGTAGAAAAAAATGGACTCGCTAAGTCACCTTGGAAATGGCCTGTGTTGACATTGCCAAAAGGAAATTGCATCCATTAAAAAAGCAAAATTTATCCTGATAATAATATTGAAGATATTCGTCATAGAATTATTAAAAAAAAAAGTACGCAAAAACAACCCAACAATTGAAGCTACAAGAATTAGTTCTTCCTATTCACCTTCAAAATGCATAAGGGAGGCAGTGCTCTATTGCACCAACACTCACAATTAAGAGTGATTGAACTATCAGCATATGTTGATGTTCTCCACTCCATCCTCTCTTCAAATGCCATAAGAGTATTGCATGAATTAACTTTAATATTGTAGAAGAGTAGTTCCTTTTTCCAAGAATATCCTCCAAGTACAAGCTGCCCTTTCTTTGTGAGTGTCAATGGCTCTATGCCACAAATTAATGCTACACATTCGAGTCCAGGACATTGAAGAGATCGGCACTTAGAGTCACTTGGACCTGTACATGAATCTGCTCGCCTGAGGGCTTAAATTCAAGAAAAGACACCACTTTAAACTAACAACCAAGATCAATGATTTTTTGGCCCTGTCTTGTATATAAATATCTCAAACTTCTGATTCCCGAGGGCTGTGAAAAGCCTCGCTCACATGTTAAACTCGATACGGAATTCCTTCAACCCCATATTGTCTCATTTCCATAGCCAATAATGTGGCTGAAAATGATAGCAATACGCACGAAGATCCCTCTCAAGCAAGCCACACTAAAGCAGTGACTTTCCTGCCACTTGTGCTGGTCATTTAATAGTAAATGACCAGCACAAGGCCATCGTGCATCCTAGATTTTCCTCCAATTACTTAATACACACGGTTTAATTCAAAGCTTAAAAAGATGTTACGTTTTGACTTGAAGGATGAATCCATGGAAGTGCCACAACCTCCTTCACGCATTTGGTTTCCCCTCCTCCATATGCGTTTCAATTTGCTGCTACTTTTCAATCTTCACATGGCTGAAGCGGAACACGTGATGAAAGGCCATCACTGGTCGTGACTGGTGAGCGATGCTCGTAGATCCCATAAGGTGCTGACATGGACCACATGCCATGTTAGCGACCATAGAATGTCAACCGATTTTGATCACCACTTTTAGCAGAACTCCCACTCAGCAAAACACCCATTTGTACAGTTCAATGCCTTGAACATGTATTCAACTTGAAGACATCAGGTAACATTTAGGAAGAGACGGAATAGCAGAGATTAAGAAGACAAAAGACACATCTGAATGTATTTAAAGTCCAAAACTTAATCCTTCAACCAAACAGATTTCTATCTCATCTATCCTCAAACACTAATCAAACACAACCACACAACCTTGAAAACATTTCTAGACAATCTTCTTAATACTTGCAAAGAACTTGGCTAACACAGAAAATTGACTGATGCCACTCTCAAAGCAAAGTCTAAAAAGCATTTCAAACCGCCAGATAAAGTGAAACTAAAAGATAAAAAATGAACTTGTAAATAAACCCAAGTGAACCATTCACCTATGTACAGCCACAAATTCTGCAGCAAAAATGTTAGCAAAACATAGAGGTCTCATGAACGTAGTACACTAAAAACACAAAACTATACATTGGGATCTACACTCAAGGAAATGAAAACGTTGTAAAGTACATAGATCACATATCAATCATCATCTGATAAACAAACAACCTCGCTTGTTGGGTTTCTCAGCACACTATTTAGCATGCTAAGCTTTGGTTGAGCCAACGGGTTTGAGTCAGAACTCATATCAGTTCCTGGAGGGGAACTCCAGGCCTGAGTTGCATGTGTGCTTGTTTGATTATCTATATCCATTAAAGATTCAAGTCCCTGGAGAGATGTTATAGAAGGTGAGATTCCCATGCTTTCACCACTATTTGTTGCCGTCTGAGGACTTGATTGTTGTGCAGTTGCAGGACCTCGTGAAGGAATCTCAGAAGGTGTGGGAGAAGTTGTTGATACTTGTTGGCTTTGCATCCCGCGTGCTGAAGGTCTAAAATGTTGCAGGTGTGGGGCAGGAGCTCGAATCTCATTACCGATTCGGAGATTGCTTGTGGCAGGAGAGATGGAGCTGATATGTGGTGGTCTAGTTGAGGTACTTGAGAAACAGCCTGAGCTATGAACAACCTGCCATGGTGGGGCAGGAGGGGAAGATGTTGGAGTTGTTTGCAGACTAGCTGCTGGAAGACCAGTTGAATATGAGCCAGTAACAATATAAGGCCGAGCAGTGGGTTCCGATAGCTGAAGCTGCTGCTGCACTATACTAGAGTTTATCTCTGCATGCCACCAACATTTGAACCAAGTTTAGGTTCCAACCAATCAAGACTCAAATGGATTCCTAATCATGTTTTCACGATTCATCTTTGCCTTGATATTAATTCCATATTTTCATTTTAAAGAATGTTACCAACCTTGCTGCCTGACAGGGGTGCTAGATGCCTTATTATCCATGCACTTGCTCCTGAATGCCTCGGCCAAAATCTTGTTCAAGAAAACTTTGTTTTGATTGTCAGCCATCTCTTTCTTCTTACGGAGGAATTCAGATTCTATCTCCTGAAGTTTAACACCATGCTTTCTACGAATTTGAGCAACAACCTCCTGTATCTCCTTCTCGCAATCAGATTTCAGCTGCAGCTTCTGCAAAAGAGAAAAGAAAAGGTATTCAAATACAACAGCCAAAAACCAAAATCACACAGAATACAACTGGGTAAAAAGGAAACAAACTGTATCTTCATGGATCTTGATTATTTGTTCTGTTTCTCCGCATATTCTATCCAATTCATTCTGCAATGGATCTTGAGACATAGATACAGGCATTCGAACAGCGGGTGCAGAAACAGGACAATTACTAATTATAGAAGTGACGGATGCACTCATCATGTTTGGGATACGTGTCCCTGATTCACCAACAACTATTGAATTAGCAGGTGCATGTTCTGCAAATGAAGTTGTAGGCTGTGAACCAGCAGAGTAGTCCATGGATGGTAACAATTCTGTGACAGGCGCATCACTATGAGAATGATCAGAAGCTACAAAAGGCTGGGATGCCAAAGCATCAATTTGTTGGAAAGCAATATGGTTATTACAAGCTCGTGCAACTCTATCTTGCAATCTAGAGGATTCAGTAGGTTGGCCATTATCAGAGGCTACAACATGCATACTGTCAATCTCTAGTTGATTGTGGCCAACCCCCACTTCACGAACTCTTGATGGATCCACCTCATGCTGCTGGTTAACAGCATTGTTTTCAGGCACTCCTAATCGAACCTCTCCAGTTTGCTGGTTGACTGCCACCATTTCACCATAGTGAGGCTCTTGATTAAGAATACACATCACTCCATTCCACTGATCAACTTCAATGGCA